ATCCACTAGGTGATATATGCTCTGTCTAAGCACCCCCCCCCCCCCCCCCCCCCCCCCCCCCCCAAGGTCTTTGTGCATTGCTTCCAGTTGTTCCGCTCGTCCATTACATTGTACACCGGCATTAAAAAAATATGGAGCGTAATCCTTGTGTGGTGTGTGTGTGTGTGTGTGTGTGTGGTTATTTTAAAGCCCCACCCCAGTTTTCGACTGGGGCCCTAATACCCGTCGGTTAAAGGGGGTTTCTGGAACTTGAGCCTAGAAGATTCTCATCCGAATGGGGGGCACTTTGTTTTACCGGGTGTTAATCAGTTCTAGTGGGGTTGAACGTCATTTACTTACTTAAGTGTGTTGATCCAGGTGAGAGATGTTAAGTGCGATATCCGAATGATTTCTAACCATGCAGGGCGTATACCAAATATTGCGATTTTCTGAACATGTTCACGGAATCTGATACAATTACTGTACGTATGACTGCTTGTTCTGTTGCTCATGCTAGTGATCTGAAAACAGCTGAGGTTACTTGACAGGCGTTGTAGGACAACATCCTACCGGCTACCCTTTCTTCTCAGGATTTTAACTGGTACCCACAATAAGATGTGTAGAGCTTAGAGCCCTATCTAAGTTTAACACTTTACCCAGTGTGGATTAGAACTGAGGACCTTCGGGTAGACACGCAATTGTCTAGCCACTGAGTTGCCGCTTTCCAATGACGTTAGAGCACATTCTAATGACTAAAAAGTCTTTGAAAGCTGCTAGGATCAAGTACCTTCAACACGAGTTCTTTAACTTATTGATGGAAAAGAGAAAAGAACTTAGAGGAGAAACACAGGAAACAAAACAAATTTAGGAAGGTGTGTGTGTATGTGTGTGTGTGTGTGTTTGCTTTTTGCTTTATTAATACAATTACAACAGCAACATTAATAAATAAATAAACTGAGAGTGTTTGTTATACCATCCCAGAAACAAAAATAGCCAAACCAACAACAATAACAATCACCACCACCACCACACCAATAACAACCACCAATACCACCACAACAGAAACAACAAAAGAACAACATCGACAACAACAAAAAGCAACAACAATGAGATTGAAAACACTCACAAAAAAGGATCTGCAGGAGATTTTATCATCTTTTTAATCCGAGGTAAGACGCTGGTCCAGTCAAATGTAAAACCTTCAAAAGTGAAGATACCTATATTGTTTGCTGCAGAATGTATGGAGAAGTCCTTGAAGTCTATAACATCGATCTCTGGTGTCACCGCGTAGTTAGGATGCTTCACAATCACTTGTAGAAGAGGGGGCAACCAGTCTGTGATAGACGCGAGCTATTTTAGGTAAAAAACATTCTAGAACAAAGTTGTGTTTCAAATGTGACAGGTGTCTTTAAACATAAATCAAGGACAAAGTTGTGTTACAAATGTGACAGGTGTCTTCAAACATAAATCAAGAACAAAGTTGTGTTTCAAATGTGACAGGTGTCTTTAAACATAAATCAAGAACAAAGTTGTGTTTTAAATGTGACAGGTATCTATAAACATAAATCAAGAACAAAGTTGTGATTCACATGTGACAGGTATCTTTAAATATAAATCAAGAACAAATCTTTTCTTTTGAACACAGCATTGCAACATTGACCATCATAGCATTCTTAGTAGCATATTTTGTGAGTATTAGATATTCGAAAGCCAGCTTAAAAATAACTTTTTTCAGTGAACAGTACTACAGGTTACGGTTTTTTTAAAGGAAGATTTGAACCCCAAATACATTATCTAAGACTCTCTCTCTCTCTCTCTCTCTCTCTCTCTCTCTCTCTCTCTCTCTCTCTCTCTCTCTCTCTCTCTCTCTCTCTCTCTCTCTCTCTCTCTCGAGAGAGAGAGATTGATAAGACAATTGCAGCTTCTCAGTGTTGATTGTTATCAATTGGCCTAAAGTGCCTAAACAAATTAAAAAAAGAAAAGAAAATGAAGGAATATCTTAGCAATTTTAAATAAGCTTTCTGAAATGTCACATCTGTGCATTTGTTTTTTCATGACCATTTCAAGCCATATTTACACCCGGTAGGTCTTTTACAGTAATTCCTTAGCGTCTCTACAGAACTGTGTATTAAAACAAATCTTAACAAACAAGCCTCAACTGGTTTTAACGTTTTCAAGATTTTCCGTGTGTCTAAAATTGTCTTCGTGTAAATGTTAAATTAATCTGAAAAAACACATCCTTGTTATTACTCTAAGTAAATTAAATTCTTTAGATCTGCTGGTAGATTGCTGCTCTTAATATACATTTTTTCCCATCTATACTTATTAAATACAACTTGTCAATATCTTGATATTTACAATATCTTGATGTCTGTCGTTGAAAAAAAAAAAAAAAACTTTACATAATTTACAAAATGCAAATGAGTTTTTATAAGTTGTATACAAACGCCCATCTGTATTTAATAAAAGATATAAATCGAACAAAAAGTATATTAGCAAGCTTAACAATATAACAAATACA